ACCGAAATATTTTATAAAATTATATTTGAAAATCGATTTCACCCACACATACTTCTTAATCTACTTTCATATTTCTTACAAGATGGCAACTCTACTTAGAAACACTATAGAAACTGCATGAATATTCATTGATTATAAAAATTTTACCGTTTATCATAAACTGGTTGAAAAAATGTTTAAGTTTAGAATCGATAATTAAGTGGGTATTAAAAAGTAAGGACTCAAAAATTAAAAGAGATCTTTAAATATTTGAACAGACAGAAGATAGTGAATTATAATGCATGTTTTTTTTTTTTTATCTATAACTTATTTACTTTTTATATTAAGTCTTATTTATAATTTTAAATTAATAATTTATTCAATGGAAATTTTTTATCGTATCGAATATTTTGATTTCATTTTAAACTATTTCATGTTTAAATAAAAATAATGTCAATAGGCGGGATTGGTATTTTAAGTGTGATCACATTTTAATAGCAATAAATTAAAAATTTGATCTTATTTTGTTACTTATTTTATTATGAACATTTTACGTTACTAACCCCGTTTGTTAGTTCTAAGTGAATTTTAAGCAATTACAAATTCTTCCTTAAAGAATCCATCTTTGTCTTCAGACTTGACATGATTCAGTGACAGAGTCTAAATTGCCATGACGCACAGCATAAATAATGTCAATAGGCGGGATTGGTATTTTAAGTGTGATCACATTTTAATAGCAATAAATTAAAAATTTGATCTTATTTTGTTACTTATTTTATTATGAACATTTTTATGTTACTAACCCCGTTTGTTAGTTCTAAGTGAATTTTAAGCAATTACAAATTCTTCCTTAAAGAATCCATCTTTGTCTTCAGACTTGACATGATTCAGTGACAGAGTCTAAATTGCCATGACGCGCAACATTAATTTATTCCTTTCAGACCCAGATGCACTTTTGTGAATTTGTCATTTTCTTCCTGTATCCACTTGAATTTGAATGGTTAATTTATTTATCACAATTATATAACAGTTTTTCTTCGAATATTCTTCTTGACTTTTCGACAAATTTTCTTTAAAAATTCTGTTGAATTTATTTGATTAGTACACTGAATATATTTCAGTCAGGATGATTTTTCCTTAGAGGCCAAAAATACACATTAATAATTGATAAAATATCCATAACAATTATAGTTTATTATTAATACCACATTATTTCTTTTATAAATATTTCTGAATAATAAACCCAATTAAAATATTAATATTAAATTTTTATTTTACCACAGTTGCCATATAAACATTACGAAAATTAATGCTCTTTTAAATAATTTATACAAGCTGCCAATTAATTTTATTATGTGCTCTCTCTATCTCTCGCCTTTATAATATCCCATAGCGTAAAATGGGATATTAATTTATTAATATCCCATAGCGTAAAAATTACTGATACTGTCGATATTAAATACAATGTAATACGTATAAAAACATTGTATACCATGTGAAAATTACAGGAAAATTTAATTATTTCAAAATAAAAATAAAATTGTAAAAAGCATATTAATAAAATTAATTTGTTAATAAAAAGAAAGGAAATTTAAAATTCCCATAATTAATTGTTTAATAGACTATTTAAAACTTAATTGATCGAACAATTTCGGGAGTAATTGCATTTACGATATAAATTGGTTTGTCAATTTGACTGCTCCTCTTTCCACACACACACATGTAATTATTATTTATACTCCAGATAAAACGTATTATATCTAAGTGTGTATGAACATTTTAATTCCATGTGGTGACATTTAATAATATATTCATCGAGACAGTATAGGAGTATTTTAAAAAAAAAAAATTAGAAGGAGAGTGACAAAGAGAAAAGTATTCTCATAAACAGCTTATTGACTTGCAAAATGCTAATTTTACCTGTCTTGTGTTAAAAATAGTGTTAAAATTACAATTTTGGAAAAATTAAGAAGGAATTCTATTAAGAGATTAAAGAATTTTGACCTGCATAATTAAGCATTTATTTCTGAATCTATGTTTATACTGTAAAACTTGTAAATTTGCAAGTAATTATTGTTTTAACCAACAAATCAATCATCCGTCCTTGCTTCTTATATACAGTACTTTGTGAGCATTGGCCACAAGTACGATGTAATTATTTTTCAAAAGTGTAATCTATACCGTGCATCCGGAATTTTTTTATGTAATTCGATTAATTAAATAGTTTAAAAAATTTAAAATTATAGTTCGGACACCAGTTTTCTCATAATTAAATGGCATTTGGCAATTCAATAATATATTTGACTTTTACAACTGAATAAATTTTACGCGAATATAGTGTCAGAATAAACGAATAAAGTGTCAAAAATAGTAAAAATCAAACAACAAAAAATCACCCATTTTAACTCACCATAATTTTATCACTATATTTTAAACAAAATATGTAAATTAGTTCTTGCAATTTTTTTTGGAAATAATAAAAATATTTTAAATTACTCAGAATTAAAATTCGGAATTTTCATAACATTCCACATGGGAAAGGTACTTACTTTATGTGTTTAACCTTTTTTTTACCTTCTTATCTTAAAAAACCTACCTTTTTGGTTTTCAAAAGAGATTTCACAGAAAGAAGACATATCGTCACCCCAGATCAGAAGTATCATAAGTCCCATTTCAAAAATTTTACAGGAGAGCAATTTTAAATATGTTAAACTTCATTTCTTTTATGGTTTTACACTTAGGCAAAATCGAAGTAATAGAAGTTTATAGCTTTTGAGAGGTAATTTTTTATGGGATTTTTTTATTAGGAAATCACGACTTAGGATATTTTTCCATTAAAAGTTTTAAGGGGAGAAGAATCTTAAGTCCAGATAAGATGCTTTGGAGATAAAATTAGTTTGTAATTTGGAGAAAGAATTGACGGATTTTAAAAAAGAAAAACCACTCTAAAGAAGCCTATGTTTCAGCAGCAGCAAAAAGAGTCCTAAAATCTAATGAGTAAAAAAAATGTATTTTGTCAAAAGTTGGACTTAGGATACTTCTGATCTAAGGTGACGATATTTACGTATCATTTAAGGTAAATTTTTAAAACACACCCGCAATGATGCTTGCTTACAATTCCATGTGAATATATAATTATTTTTGAGATAATTTATGTCGCGACAGAATATTTAATTATTAATACACAATATACATATTCACTATCGTAAAATATACATATCTACCTGATCCTACCGAATATTTTGTGAATAAACATAACAGATACCTCCTAATGTACCTACCAAAAAAAAATTTCGCAAAATAATTATTTTAGTTGATAGTTCGCATTCCTTTAGTGCAGTTCGCTTTTTATTCAAATCAAATTAGTGAATTTTAAAAAAAGAAAAATTTTTTAAATATTTAAATTGAAATTAAATTTTTAAATAAAACAAAAATGGAATTTAAATTTATTGAACATTATGACAATGAAAATAATTTTTTATATTATGAAATTATTCGAGTAACTCTAGAAGATCTAGAAATCTATAAGAATAATATAGAATCGAATAGGTTTAGAACTTTTAAAAGCAATAGAACACATAACTTTAAATCAACTAAATCTTTCGAATCAAATAAATTGCAACAGAAAATATTAAATAATCAAATTAATAAGCAACATAAATTAAATAATCAAATTAATAAGCAACATAAATTAAATAATAATATTACGAGTAATAATAATAACAATAATAATAGCAAAATTAATAGTAATAATAATAATAGCAGTAATAATAATAGCAATAACAGTAATAATAATAGGAAAATTAATAGTAATGATAATAATAAAAATAATAGCAGTAATAATAATAATAATAATAGCAATAATAGTAATAATAACAGTAATAATAATAATCATAGCAATAAAAGCAATAATATCAATAGCAGCAATAATAATAACAATAGAAGCAATAATAGCAATAATAATAATAACTGCAGTAATAATATTAATAATAATAGCAATAAGAGTAGCAATAATAGTAATAATAACATTAATAATAATAATAATGACAATAACAGTAATAGTAGTAATAATATTAATAATGAGTGTAGTTTACAAAATGAAAATTATTTTGAAACAAATTTGGTTAAATCAAATGATTTTTATGACATTGATCTTAATGAAAGTTTTAAATCTTGTTCTGGCAATGATTCAAATAAGGTGAGTTTAATGTATTTGAGTGACTTGAATATATTTTTAAAGATACATTAAGTGAAAAATAATAAAAACCTTTTCTACAAAATGAAACCCATGTTAATTAATTTAAAATGCTGATTAGTGAATGTTGATTAACGAATTAAGAAACTCATAAAGAAATTTCCATGTACACAATAATTGAAGAAACTTTAAACTGTAGATTATATTTTGATTGCTTCATAAAGTTGCAATTTTACAGTATCCAATCGTGATCTATTGTAATAACCTCGATATATAGACACTAGTTCATACATAAAATGTTAAGCGCTGTACCATCCCCCGCAGTGCACCTTAAATTTATATAAATTAATCTGGGATTTCCCTATAGCATACAGTTTTTTGTTTACTGCATCAAGCCACTATACAAATGTTTATTATTAGACGGACCTTTTTCTTACCCGGTTTTAGTTACTCTGAAGAAAGTTTCTTTAAATATGGGAATAAGAATGATTTAGCTTCTACTTTGCTAGGTCAGCAGCCTCATTTTCCCATACACCAAACTTTGCACACGTACCTAAATGACCGTATTTTCTATCTTTTATTGTCATTTTAACTTTTTTAATTGCCCCCTATGCAGTGAAAATACAATTACATTAATTTTATATTATCATGAAATTTATTATGCTAATTTCATTATCATTATACTTGTATGCTTCCGTGTACAACTGCTTGATATTTCATTTAGATCTTAATTTAAAATTTTATAAAATTTTATTTTATTTTAAGTTTTCATTTTTAATTTTGCATTTATTTATTTTTGTATTTTTTATTTTCTTTTTTATTTTAGGAGATGTTGGAGCGTCGAGTTCTTGAACTTGAAAATGCTTTACAAAAAGTTCAAGATCAATTGAATCATGTAAGTTCATACAAAATATTTTTTTTTTGTATTTTCCTTCTTCACACTACATTTATAGTTTAAATTTTGTTAATTAAATATAGTAGTTGCATTGAAATTCCTTGCATTTACCTTGCACATTTTAATTAAATAGTAGCTATAATTAAGTATATAGTATAGCGCTATTTTTATACAACAAATAAATTTAAAATAAACTTAAATTTTGGAATATTATTAAGTTTCCCTCTTGAAATCTTACTTGTAATATATAAATATAAATATATGTATATATAAATGCTATAGTTTCCGCGCAAGATGGCATGATGTTTAGTCCCTGTACGATATTTTGCTTCATTATAGAGAGAAGACAACGCTCCTAGCATGAGTCAAAAAAAAAATTTGGTCCACGGTCGTACGCCACTCGTTCTCAAATTTTATTCCAATAAAATGCCTTAAAATAATTTATTTTTCGATCGTCATTTTTCTAGATTTCAAAAACAGAACCTTGCTTTTAAATAAAAATAAAATAAATCAGTGGAATTTTAAAGTCTGCTTTACAAAATTTAGAGTCTAGGTTTTCTCAAAATTTCCAAGGTTTTTAGTCAAACTTTTGGATAATAACTGGCCGATTCGAACTGGAATTATTTTCAATGGATTTTCGCGAAATTTTCTATATTAAAAAATTTCGAAATGAATTTTTTTAAAAATTTGGAAAAAAGTTGCTTACACCGGACAGACTGTCGGTAACACCTGATATTTACTTATTTTTTACAATCCATTGGAACAGCTGGGGTATTACATCGTATATGCGATAGTTTAGCGATAAGTAACCAATTAATTCAATGTATTGGTTCTCCAATTTCAAATTTTCTGTTTTTGCCGAAAATTATATATCCTTACTGCAGAAGAGAGGCAAAAGTAGAGCGGAGCTTTACAAAACACATTCCTTTTCTAATATTATACAGTTAAGAATATTCATGACGGAAAAAATCCCTTAATATTATTTATTACTGTACCGTAGCAAAATGCCATTTTAACGGAATCATTTTAAATAGAAAGTAAAAAAAAAATAAATTAGCAGATAAAGAAAAAAAAAAAGAGCAGAATAGAAATTATTAGAAATTCAAAAATTATGGCTAAATCGATTGAAATAATGGAAGGTATCATCATAAAATTAAGGATATAAGAATATTGTTCTTTATATTTTTTGTTCATTTCCTCAACAAAAAAAATTCCTTCTTTGCCATATGTACAGGAATTGAAATTGTAAAGAATCTTTCGTTTTCATATAAATAGGGCTAAATTTATTAGAGCCATTCATTAGATAATGTGTCTTATGTTAGTAAAGTTAAAGATGAGTATAAATTTTCTTGAATTTTTCTTCAACTTGAAATGGATAATAAAAAGAAAAGTATACTGAACAGATACGATATAATGATATAAGAGGGAGAAAAATAAGAATATAAATAGAAAAAGTGGAAGCGGAACTAGAAGATGTGTATTTTATGTAATAAACTAAAAAATTTCAGATGAAAGAAAAAGAATATTGCTGAAAAATAATTCAAGTGGATAAGAATAAAAAAAAAACTATAATATTATAGTAAATAATCAAACAGGAATTGGAGAAGCTCTTCTAGTACTTGTAATTCTCCCGGCTATGATGTGATTTCAACTCAATTCCTAAAGCAATTCTTTAAAAAAATTCTATTAAAACTTTTTTAAATTTTAGTTACCTCCGGTTAATTCGTAGATAGTGTTTTAATTATTACTGTCAGTTTTTTATGTGCTTCCTTTAGCGCCATATCAGATCAGCCGAGACAAGACACAAGACTATACTGTCATGTTTTCTTATAATTTCTTAACTTTGATTACATTATAAATTCATTATAAATTGAAAGAATCCAAGATAATTTTAGTTGCCATATTGTTGAGATGAGAGTTTGTGGAGAATTTTTAAAAGCTCGCAATTTTCTCATTAAAATTTCAGAATATTCGGAATTAAAATTTCGTGACATTTAAGTAAGATGTGAAATTTTAAACATAAACATATTTTTTCTCTCATATTATCGAGGAAGTTAATAGTGAAAAAAATAATTTATATAAAAAAAATTGAGAATGAAGTGAAAAAGGTTCAACATAAATTCAACAGCACTTCAATTTTTTTTTGTTGAATATGTATTGAAAATTACCTTCAGCAAAAAAAAAGCAACAAATTCGAAAAAAAATATCACCCACTTAAATAAGAATATTCCTCTATCATTCTACTTACTTACTTACTTACGTCTAAGAAACTCTTCATATATGCTCTATACTGAATAGAAAATAAGAAGATTTTTTAAAAACATATTTTGGAAGCTTAAGAAAATGTAATTGATATTGAATGAAAATTATTTACTATACACACATACGCACATAAAATAATATATTCCAATATTAAATGAAAGTGGAAGAAGCCATATATAACATATTATATAACAAGTATAGCTTTGAAGAAGTTGAAGGATAAGAGAAGAGAAAAACTAATGATTATTATTTAAGAACTTGGAGTGTATTTATTCAGTGAACCAATTTTCAAGGTTTAATAATGGTTTATCTTTACAATATGTATACCCGATATATATATATTTATGCATATATAATATGTTACCGTGTCTGTCCTATTAAAAGTGCTCATATACGTATATCCTTTTTGAAGTGAATCAGTGGAACATCTCATTTTAAATATAGTGCAAGTAAATGTTATCCGATATCTTTTCATCTTCCTTATTTATTTTTCCTTAAATTTAAAGTATAGTGTATAGAAGTCCCTTAATTTTATAACAATATATTTTATATAATAATGTGATCAACTGAGCTTTTTTTCTTTCCCCATCCCTATTCAGTCAGTTGATATTATTAAGAGGGTATTCGAAAGAATTATCTAGTTCTTTTCTGTTGTTTAAGATAGAAAAGAAAATTTAGGGTACACGAATATAGATTTATAATTTAGAGTATTCCATTGATTTTAATAGAGTATTTATAAAAATCACTTAAAAGATTTTCTTGAAAAGATTATGTATGTAACTATATACTAAATAGAGTTTTATATTAAAAGTTTGGATGAAAAATTTCGGAGGAGTTATTAAAAACTAATGTTTATCATAAAAATTTTTTAAAAATTCTATACCCTCTTAATGTTTAACTGCGTAGATTTAATTCTAAATTAGCAGATGCTCATGGTCACATATAAGAAATTTTAACACTAGTATGTATGTATAACGTGTTTATGTATACTCATAAATTAAATTGTTTTTAGATTTTATAGTTTTTGCTAATGACTAGAATGATTTTATTAAAACAAATTACTATAGTAATCATAAATTTTATGGGCTTGATAATTGGAACAAAGTATTTTATATATAGGTAGACAAGATTTTGAACAGGAATAAAATTAACAATTTCAATAGATTTTTAGCAATAATTTTAAAAATTTTGGTTAATAGAAAATTTTAGAAAATTCTAAAATTAAAGCTATGGCAAATTCAAATTTATTCACAATTCATTAAAAAATTATTGATATTTATTGGAAAGAATGAATCATCATAGTTATAATTGGTTTTACGAAAAAACAAGGATCAGCTATATCAAATTCCAAATTTAACAACTATGGCCTTTGCGTAGCGAAAAGATGATCCCGCGAGTCGTTTAATATTTTTTGGCTTCATATAGCTTTATGATAGAACAAGAAACTGTGATCCCGAATATTTGGCGATGTGAGCACTTTAAAAGGCCAAAAAGACACCTTATTTTTGGAGGTCTAATTCTCTTAAGTCATCAAAATTTTCAAGATCATATACAAAAACTGATCTTAAACAGTTTTGTTTAAAGAATACCATTTGTTTCCAAAACTTTTCCATTATATGAAATTCTATTGTTTGCTTTATGGAAAGGCAAATTTTCAGTACAATTTTTGTATACAAGAATAAAAATATTTTTCAAAATAAAAGAATTTTTAGCAATTTTGTAATTTTAAATAAAAAATTCAATTTCAAAATCAAATTCTTGAATTTATTATTTGCGGTTATGTGTAATCTTGTTATCAGGAATCACGAATTGAAAATTTTATTAATAGCACAAAAAAATATTATTCATACAATAATTTTCAATAGAAGCCGCATTTTTCGAAAAATTCAATGTTAAATTTATTATTTTTCTTTTCTAAATAAAAAGCATGAGGAAAAATCAAAACCCAAAAAAATAATTTAATATTCATATGCTTCGTATATACATAAATTACCTTTATGACACCTGTTACAATACCACATAATACATGAAGTATATATATAGAGTACCCTAACCTATAAATCCTTTGTAGGTATAAACTTTTTCACCTATAACTAAATCAACCATATTTACGCTACCAAAGATTCTTTAAATTTGAATTAAATTTAATTTTAAATGTAAATTACGAAAATCAACTTAACTTTGAAAATCTTTTTCTATTCTTTCTATGTATTTATTTGTTTTTTTCTACACTGATAGCTAATAAAATTTTTATTTGTTTTGTTGTTGTTATTGTTTTTAATCCCATGAGTAAACGAAAAATTTTTTAAACTTTTTACTTTTTTTTTCTTTGCTTTTTGTTTGTGTTTTTTTCGAATTTCCCTTTAAATTTTATTCATTTTAAACATTATAAATTTTAAAATATATGAGCAAACAGAATATAATTCTTTTGTAAATAAAAAAGAAAAAAACAAATACGAAACCTCAAGACGGAAACGTCAAAAAACGTAAAATTCATACCCGTTTTTATTATTTTTTTTTTTTGAAACAAACTTTACCTCAAGCTATACGGCTGAATGTCCTCATCACCTTGAGTTTTAGAAACACAAAAAAAAAATGTTTTATTTTTTTATCTTATCCTTGACTGATTTCGAAAAAAAAAAAACAAAAACACCACATTTTAAAACTTTTAACTTCCCTGCCTCCGCCTCCTACTTCTCATACCCATCTCATTTTCTCTTATTTTCCTTCCTACATTT